AGAATAAAAAACATTTGAGGGTTCTAAGTCATTTTGTAGTAAAAAAAAAAATTCTCAGGTGCAGTAAAAAAAAAAAAAAAAAGATATTTACACGTATTTTTACTACAAAATGACTTAGAACCCTCAAATGTTTATATTTTGCAAAAGCGGAGGCCTTGGAAAAAAAAAATGGGGGTTGTTGCAATTTTTGTTTCTCTGATCCTCCCCTTCTTCTAGCGTCCCCCTCTTATCCTCTGAGGCCTCCTTGTAAACGCACTAGAGAATTTTTTTTTTTTTTGAAGACTTATACAATTTAACCGCTTGTCTACCGCGCCAATTATGACATTTCTCACATACGTGGAAATATCTACATTTTTTTTTTTTTTTACTGCAAAATGACTTAGAACCCTCAAATGTTATATCTTCCGAAAGCGGAGGCCTTGGAGAATAAAATAGAATAGAACATTTGAGGGTTCTAAGTCATTTTGTAGTAAAAAAAAAAATTCTCAGGTGCAGTAAAAAAAAAAAAAAAAAAAAAAGTAGATATTTACACATATTTTTACTACAGAATGACTTAGAACCATCAAATGTTATATTTTGCAAAAGCGGAGGCCTTGGAGAATAAAATGGAGGTTGTTGCAATTTTTTTCTTCTCTGATTCTCCCCTTCTTCTCGTGTCCCCCTCTTATCCTCTGATCCTTGTAGAAGCACTAGAGAATGTTTGTTTTTTTGAAGACTTATACAATTCAAATTGTATGTATGCTTTTGGAAAATATATATCGTTTGAGAGTTCTAAGCCATTTTGTAGTAAAAAAAAAAAAAAAATTCTCAAGTGCAGTAAAAAAAAAAAAAAAGTAGATATTTACACGTATTTTTACTACAAAATGACTTAGAACCCTCAAATGTTATATTTTGCAAAAGCGGAGGCCTTGGAAAAAAAAAATGGGGGTTGTTGCAATTTTTGTTTCTCTGATCCTCCCCTTCTTCTAGTGTCCCCCTCTTATCCTCTGAGGCCTCCTTGTAAACGCACTAGAGAATTTTTTTTTTTGAAGACTTATACAATTTAAAACCGCTTGTCTATCGCGCCAATTTTGACATTTTCTCACATACATGTAAATATCTACATTTTTTTTTTTTTTAATACATAATGACTTAGAGCCATCAAATGTTATATATTACGAAAGCAGAGGCCCTGGAGAATAAAATGGGGATTGCAATTTTTTTTTTCTTCTCTGATCCTCCCCTTCTTCTAGTGTCCCCCTCTTATCCTCTGATCCTTGTAGTAGCACTAGAGAATGTTTTTTTTTTTTGAAGACTTATACAATTCAAATTGTATGTATGCTTTTGGAAAATATAAAACATTAGAGGGTTCTAAGCCATTTTGTAGTAAAAAAAAAAAAAATTCTCAAGTGTAGTAAAAAAAAAAAAAGTAGATATTTACACATATTTTTACTACAAAATGGCTTAGAACCCTCTAATGTTATATTCTATTTTATTCTCCAGGGCCTCTGCATTCGGAAGATATAACATTTGAGGGTTCTAAGTCATTTTGTAGTAAAAAAAATAAAAATGTAGATATTTACACATATTTTTTACTACAAAATGGCTTAGAACCCTCAAATGTTATATATTTTCCGAAAGCATACATACAATTTGAATTGTATAAGTCTTCAAAAAAAAAACATTCTCTAGTGCTTCTACAAGGAGGGCTCAGAGGATAAGACGGGGACACTAGAAGAAGGGGAGGATCAGAGAAGAAAAAAATTGCAACAATCCCCATTTTATTCTCCAGGGCCTCAGCTTTCGAAAAATATAACATTTGAGGGTTCTGAGTCATTTTGTAGTAAAAATATGTGTAAATATCTACTTTTTTTTTTTTTTTACTACAAAATGACTCAGAACCCTCAAATGTTATATTCTATTTTATTCTCCAGGGCCTCCGCATTCGGAAGATAAAACGTTTGAGGGTTCTAAGTCATTTTGTAGTAAAAAAAAAATTCCCAAGTGTATTAAAAAAAAAAATGTAGATATTTACAGGTATTTTTACTACAAAATGACTTAGAACCCTCAAATGTTATATTTTTCGAAAGCAGAGGCCCTGGAGAATAAAATGGGGGTTGTTGCAATTTTTTTCTTCTCTGATCCTCCCCTTCTTCTAGTGTCCCCCTCTTATCCTCTGAGCCCTCCTTGTAGAAGCACTAGAGAATGTTTTTTTTTTGAAGACTTATACAATTCAAATTGTATGTATGCTTTTGGAAAATATAAAACGTTTGAGAGTTCTAAGCCATTTTGTAGTAAAAATACGTGTAAATATCTACATTTCATTTTTAATACACTTGGGAATTTTTTTTTTTACTACAAAATGACTCAGAACCCTCAAATGTTATATTCTATTTTATTCTCCAGGGCCTCCGCGTTCGGAAGATAAAACATTAGAGGGTTCTAAGTCATTTTGTAGTAAAAAAAAAAAATTCCCAAGTGTATTAAAAAAAAAAATGTAGATATTTACAGGTATTTTTACTACAAAATGACTTAGAACCCTCAAATGTTATATTTTTCGAAAGCAGAGGCCCCGGAGAAATAAAATGGGGATTGTTGCAATTTTTTTCTTCTCTGATCCTCCCCTTCTTCTAGTGTCCCCCTCTTATCCTCTGAGCCCTCCTTGTAGAAGCACTAGAGAATGTGTTTTTTTTTTTTTTTGAAGACTTATACAATTCAAATTGTATGTATGCTTTCGGAAAATATAAAACGTTTAAAGGTTCTGAGTCATTTTGTAGTAAAAATATGTGTAAAGATCTACTTTCTACTATTTTCTTTTTTACTACACTTGAGAATTTTTTTTTTTTTTTACTACAAAATGGCTTAGAACCCTCAAACGTTTTATATTTTCCGAAAGCATACATACAATTTGAATTGTATAAGTCTTCAAAAAAAAAAAAAAAACATTCTCTAGTGCTTCTAAAAGGAGGGCTCAGAGGATAAGAGGGGGACACTAGAAGAAGAGGAGGATCAGAGAAGAAAAAAATTGCAACAATCCCCATTTTATTCTCCAGGGCCTCTGCTTTCGGAAAATATATAACATTTGATGGTTCTAAGTCATTATGTATTAAAAAAAAAAATGTAGATATTTACCGTATTTGCCGGCGTATAAGACGACTTTTCAACCTGTGAAAATCTTTTGAAAAGTCGGGGGGTCGTCTTATACGCCGGTATACGGCGAGCCAGTGTCAGGGCGGCACTTTTTCGAGAGGCGGCGCCGCCCCCCTTCCTCCTCCAACGGACACCAAGTACAGGGGTGGGCAGAGGGGCTGCTGTACCTTACCTGGCTCCGGTCCCGGTCCCACGACGATCCGGTCCAGGAAGCGCGGCTGCTCCTTCTTTCAGTTCGGCCACTCGATGGTCCCGCCGCCCGCTCGGCTCCGCCTCCTCACCGGTAATTGGGCGCCAGCACTGGAAAGGCACACAGGCGACCAATCACCGGCGAGGAGGCGGAGCCGAACGGCCCCGAGAAAATCAAGCGGCCGAACTGAAAGAAGGAGCAGCCGCTCCTCTCCCCCACTGACACTAACGATGGGGCACTATTCCTCCTCCATACTGAGACCAACGATGAGGTACTGTTCCTCCCCCACTGACACCAACGATGGGGCATTGTTCTCCCCACTGATACCAATGATGGGGCACTATTCCTCCCCCACTGACACCAATGACGGGGCACTATTCCTCCCACTGACACCAAAGATGGGGCACTATTCCTCCCACTGATACCAATGATGGGGCACTATTCCTCCCCCACTGACACCAATGATGGGGCACTATTCCTCCCACTGACACCAATGATGGGGCACTATTCCTCCCACTGATACCAATGATGGGGCACTATTCCTCCCCCACTGACACCAATGATGGGGCACTATTCCTCCCACTGACACCAATGATGGGGCACTATTCCTCCCCCACTGACACCAATGATGGGGCACTATTCCTCCCCCACTGACACCAATGATGGGGCACTATTCCTCCTCCCCATTGACACCAATGATGGGGCGCGTTGGAAGAGGGGTAGTCTTATACGGCGAGTATAGCTCAAACACTATATTTTAACAGGAAAAGTAGGGGGTCGTCTTATACGCTGGCAAATACGGTACATGTATGTGAGAAATGTCAAAATTGGCGCGATAGACAAGCGGTTAAATTGTATAAGTCTTCAAAAAAAAAAAAATTCTCTAGTGCGTTTACAAGGAGGCCTCAGAGGATAAGAGGGGGACACTAGAAGAAGGGGAGGATCAGAGAAAAAAAATTGCAACAACCGCCATGTTTTTTTCCAAGGCCTCTGCTTTCAGAAAATATATAACGTGTGAGGGTTCTAACTCATTTTGTAGTAAAAAAAAAAAAAAACTGGAGATATTTACACATATATGAGAAATGTCAAAATTGGCGCGGTAGGCAAGCGGTTAAATTGTAAAAGAATTCAAAAAATTTTTTAAAAAATTCTTAAGTGCGTCTACAAGGAGGGCTCAGAGGATAAGAGGGGGACACTAGAAGAAGGGGAGGATTAGAGAAGAAAAAAATTGCAACAACCTCCATTTTATTCTCCAGGGCCTCAGCTTTTGGAAATTATATAACATTTGAGGGTTCTAAGTCATTTTTGTAGTAAAAAAAAAAAAGTAGATATTTACACGTATGTGAGAAATGTAAAAATTGGCGTGGTAGGCAAGTAGTTAACCGCCTGTCTACCGCGCCAATTTTGACATTTTTATACATACGTGTAAATATCTACTTTTTTTTTTACTACAAAATGACTTAGAACCCTCAAATGTTATTTATTTTCCGAAAGCGGAGGCCCTGGAGAAAAACATGGGGGTTGTTGCAATTTTTATATTCCCTGATCCTCCCCTTCTTCTAGTGTCCCCCTCTTATCCTCTGAGGCCTCCTTGTAAACGCACTAGAGAATTTTCTTGTTTTTGAAGACTTATACAATTTAACCGCTTGTCTACCGCGCCAATTTTGACAGTGGAGAGCGGATATAGTGAATGCCGGGTCCGGGGAGACCAGATATAGTGAATGCAGGGTCCGGGGAGAGCGGGTATAGTGAATGCAGGGTCCGGGGAGAGCGGATATAGTGAATGCAGGGTCCGGGTGAGAGCGGGGAGAGCGGGTATAGTGAATGCAGGGTCCGGGGAGAGCGGATGTAGTGAATGCAGGGTCCGGGGAGAGTGGATATAGTGAATGCGGGGTCCGGGGAGACCAGATATAGTGAATGCAGGGTCCGGGGAGAGCGGATATAGTGAATGCAGGGTCCGGGGAGAGCGGATATAGTGAATGCAGGGTCCGGGGAGAGCGGATATAGTGAATGCAGGGTCCGGGGAGAGCGGATATAGTGAATGCAGGGTCCGGGGAGACCAGATATAGTGAATGTGGGGTCCGGGGAGAGCGGATGTAGTGAATGCAGGGTCCGGGGAGACCAGATATAGTGAATGCGGGGTCTGGGGAGAGCGGATATAGTGAATGCGGGGTCTGGGGGGAGAGCGGATATAGTGAATGCGGGGTCCGGGGAGAATGGATATAGTGAATGCGGGGTCCGGGGAGAGCGGATATAGTGAATGCGGGGTCCGGGGAGAGCGGATGTAGTGAATGCGGGGTCCGGGGAGAGCGGATATAGTGAATGCGGGGTCCGGGGAGAGCGGATGTAGTGAATGCAGGGTTCGGGGAGAGCAGATATAGTGAATGCGGGGTCCGGAGAGAGCGGATATAGTGAATGCGGGGTCCGGGGAGACCAGATATAGTGAATGCGAGGTCCGGGGAGAGCAGATATAGTGAATGCGGGGTCCGGGGAGACCAGATATAGTGAATGCGGGGTCCAGGGAGAGCGTATATATTGAATGCGGGGTCCGGGGGAGAGCGGATATAGTGAATGCGGGGTCTGGGGAGAGCGGATATAGTGAACGAGGGGTCTGGGGAGAGCAGATATAGTGAATGCGGGGTCTGGGGAGAGCGGATATAGTGAACGCGGGGTCCGGGGAGACCGGATATAGTGAATGCGGGGTCCAGGGAGAGCGGATATAGTGAATGCAGGGTCCGGGGAGAGCGGATATAGTGAATGCAGGGTCCGGGGAGAGCGGATATAGTGAATGCGGGGTCCGGGGAGATCGGATATAGTGAATGCGGGGTCCGGGGAGATCGGATATAGTGAATGCGGGGTCCAGGGAGACCAGATATAGTAAATGCGGGGTCCGGGGAGAGCGGATATAGTAAATGCAGGGTCCGGGGAGAGCGGATATAGTGAATGCAGGGTTCGGGGAGATCGGATATAGTGAATGTGGGGTCCGGGGAGATCGGATATAGTGAATGCAGGGTCCAGGGAGACCAGATATAGTAAATGCGGGGTCCGGGGAGAGCGGATATAGTAAATGCAGGGTCCGGGGAGAGCGGATATAGTGAATGCAGGGTTCGGGGAGAGCGGATATAGTGAATGCGGGGTCCGGGGAGAGCGGATATAGTAAATGCAGGGTCCGGGGAGAGCGGATATAGTGAATGCGGGGTCCAGGGAGAGCGGATATAGTGAATGCAGGGTCCGGGGAGATCGGATATAGTGAATGCGGGGTCCGGGGAGATCGGATATAGTGAATGCAGGGTCCAGGGAGACCAGATATAGTAAATGCGGGGTCCGGGGAGAGCGGATATAGTAAATGCAGGGTCCGGGGGAGAGCGGATATAGTGAATGCGGGGTCCGGGGAGAGCGGATATAGTAAATGCAGGGTCCGGGGAGAGCGGATATAGTGAATGCGGGGTCCGGGGAGACCAGATATAGTGAATGCGGGGTCCGGGGAGACCAGATATAGTGAATGCGGGGTCCGGGGAGAGCGGATATAGTGAATGCGGGGTCCAGGGAGAGCGGATATAGTGAATGCAGGGTCCGGGGAGAGCGGATATAGTGAATGCAGGGTTCGGGGAGAGCGGATATAGTGAATGCAGGGTTCGGGGAGAGCGGATATAGTGAATGCAGGGTTCGGGGAGAGCGGATATAGTGAATGCGGGGTCCGGGGAGAGCGGATACAGTGAATGCAGGGTCCGGGGTTTAGTAACACTTTAAGGCTCAGGTCATTGTCTGATGACAGCTACATTGATCAGGTAAATACAAATTCATGCAAGAAATAACAAAGTTACATTTTGAGTTTTATACTTTGGATTTCTTTATCTCCTTTATCAGCCAATCAGTACAAAGCTAAATAAAAGTTGTTTAGCGCCATAATAAAATGAAGTAGGCTGCCATTATAACAAAGCCACCAATGAATGGTAACCAGACGGAGGAATTTGTGAATCTGTATTGTGAGAGCGGATATAGTGGATGTCGGCTTCACTGGCCAACTTCCCTCACCTGGGTTCCTGTCAAAATCGGGTACCCAATGGGGCCGATTCCTCATGGGGAGCGGGGGACCAGTACTTCCAGTACACCAAGACATGGGTTGGATTTCACATTTACTGCCAAAGAGGGAAGAAGCTAGTCGGCCCTCCTGGGAAGTGTATGAGAGGTCCATGTGAAGGAATCCCTAAGTTCAGGAAAGGGAGAAAAAGATTGAGGAGAAACTCCTAAGAGAGGGGTTTAGGTAGTTAGTGTGGTTTAGGTAGTTAGTGTGGTTTAGGTGTTTAGTGTGGTTTAGGTGTTTAGTGTGGTTTAGGTAGTTAGTGTGGTTTAGGCGTTTAGTGTGGTTTAGGTAGTTAGTGTGGTTTAGGTAGTTAGTGTGGTTTAGGCGTTTAGTGTGGTTTAGGTAGTTAGTGTGGTTTAGGTAGTTAGTGTGGTTTAGGCGTTTAGTGCGGTTTAGGTAGTTAGTGTGGTTTAGGTAGTTAGTGTGGTTTAGGTGTTTAGTGCAGTTTAGGCGTTTAGTGTGGTTTAGGTAGTTAGTGTGGTTTAGGCGTTTAGTGTGGTTTAGGTAGTTAGTGTGGTTTAGGCGTTTAGTGTGGTTTAGGCGTTTAGTGTGGTTTAGGTAGTTAGTGTGGTTTAGGCGTTTAGTGTGATTTAGGTGTTTAGTGCGGTTTAGGTAGTTTAGTGTGGTTTAGGTAGTTAGTGTGGTTTAGGTGTTTAGTGTGGTTTAGGTAGTTAGTGTGGTTTAGGCGTTTAGTGTGGTTTAGGTAGTTAGTGTGGTTTAGGTAGTTAGTGTGGTTTAGGTAGTTAGTGTGGTTTAGGCGTTTAGTGTGATTTAGGTGTTTAGTGCGGTTTAGGCGTTTAGTGTGGTTTAGGTGTTTAGTGCGGTTTAGGTAGTTAGTGTGGTTTAGGCGTTTAGTGCAGTTTAGGCGTTTAGTGTGGTTTAGGTAGTTAGTGTGGTTTAGGCGTTTAGTGTGGTTTAGGTGTTTAGTGCGGTTTAGGTAGTTAGTGTGGTTTAGGCGTTTAGTGCAGTTTAGGCGTTTAGTGTGGTTTAGGTAGTTAGTGTGGTTTAGGTGTTTAGTGTGGTTTAGGTAGTTAGTGTGGTTTAGGTAGTTAGTGTGGTTTAAGCGTTTAGTGCAGTTTAGGCGTTTAGTGTGGTTTAGGCAGTTAGTGTGGTTTAGGCGTTTAGTGTGGTTTAGGCGTTTAGTGTGGTTTAGGTAGTTAGTGTGGTTTAGGCGTTTAGTGTGGTTTAGGTAGTTAGTGTGGTTTAGGCGTTTAGTGTGGTTTAGGTAGTTAGTGTGGTTTAGGCGTTTAGTGTGGTTTAGGCGTTTAGTGTGGTTTAGGCGTTTAGTGTGGTTTAGGTAGTTAGTGTGGTTTAGGTGTTTAGTGTGGTTTAGGCGTTTATTGTGGTTTAGGTAGTTAGTGTGGTTTAGGTGTTTAGTGTGGTTTAGGCGTTTATTGTGGTTTAGGTAGTTAGTGTGGTTTAGGCGTTTAGTGTGGTTTAGGCAGTTAGTGTGGTTTAGGTGTTTAGTGTGGTTTAGGCGTTTATTGTGGTTTAGGTAGTTAGTGTGGTTTAGGCGTTTAGTGTGGTTTAGGCAGTTAGTGTGGTTTAGGCAGTTAGTGTGGTTTAGGCGTTTAGTGTGGTTTAGGAGTTTAGTGTGGTTTAGGAGTTTAGTGTGGTTTAGGTAGTTAGTGTGGTTTAGGTAGTTAGTGTGGTTTAGGCGTTTAGTGTGGTTTAGGAGTTTAGTGTGGTTTAGGTAGTTAGTGTGGTTTAGGTAGTTAGTGTGGTTTAGGCGTTTAGTGTGGTTTAGGCGTTTAGTGTGATTTAGAATAGGGAAGCACTTACTCTTTAGCTAGATCTGGGTTTTAGATCAAATGTTGGATTCAACACCTCCCATTTGTATGTTCCGATCAATAAAAACCCAAAAGAGGGTCTAAATCTTTCCTACTCCATTCATCACTAAAAAAATAAAGTTTTGCCTTGAGCCGGGCTTTACGGCACGGAGTGGACAGATAGAGGGGTTGGTAGGAGGCGGAAGAGACGAACACTTTGCAGCTAATGGCAGATTACCATTCTAAAGGAGAGAACGCACATCAGGACCGGTTGGCGTTGGCAGGAAGAGTTATGGAGGAGCAGCGGGTTGCAATTAAGCACATGTTATTATAACTATCATTAATTTGTGCAACCTCGCATCGACTCCGCCGGGAAATAACTGACTCAATGGCATCTTCACGTCAACACATTTCAAGCACATTGACTCCTATCCAGAAATAGTTTATTGGCTTTTTATGCCCAGCCATAAAGGAAACTCTCCAAGATGCAGAGACGACTTTGTACTTTGCAATGGGCGGCCGAAGGGAATATATTTAATATGAGCAAATGGATGCCAGCTGGTTTCCTTCATCGGAGAATTGCAAAATGTTTATTTTTGATACATTGATGTTGCTGGTTGAATCCCTACAGAAAAGAGAGAAACTCGACCAAAAAAAAAAATGATTTTACAAAAAAGTCAAAAAGTGACATAACAATTATTGCTAATTTGCAGCAGTTAAAAAAAAATGCAACAAAGGCCTGACGACAAAGGCCTGACGCACGGCGATACATCTTTTCACAAACAAGACATTTTTGGCTTCATAAAGTTCATTTTTTTTTTTATAACGCAGTGAAATGGAAGGATATACAGTGATTTGGTTGCTGAAGACTCGGAGGACGAGAGGCATTGTGTGTCTCCTCGCCGCGGCCGTCCATCAGACGTCCTCTACTTCGGGATTTGGTCTTTTAACCACTTGAGCTCCAGAGGATTTACCCCCCTTAATGACCACGCCTCTTTTTGCTACTCGGCGCTGAACTACTTCAACTGATAATTGCGCGGTCATGCAATGCTGCACCCAAACGAAATTTACGTCCTTTTTTTCACACAAATAGAGCTTTCTTTCAGTGGTATTTGGTCACCTTTTTTATTTTTCTTGCTATAAACAAAAAAAAGGCCAAAAAATTTTGAAGAAAAACAATATTTTTTACTTTCAGCTATAAAAAATATATAGTAAACTCAAAGTTGGTTATAAATTTAGGCCAAAATGTATTCTGCTCCATGTTTTTGGTAAAAAAAATCCCAATAAGTGTACATTGATTGCTTTGTGTGAAGTTATAGCGTCTACAAACTATGGTATAGATACTGCAATTTACGCCATTTTCTGCTATACAGCGCTGCGCTACTTTAACGGACAATTGCGCGGTCATGCAATACGGTACATAAATGACATTTACATCCTTTTTTTCCCCACAAATTGAGCTTTCTTTTGGTGGTATTTGATCGCCTGTGCAGTTTTTATTTTTTGCGCTATAAAAAAAAAGCTGACAATTTTGAGGAAAAAAAAACAATATTTTGGACTTTTTGCTATAAAACATGTCCAGTAAAAAAAAATGTAAAAATCAAATTTAGTCATAAATTTCTGCCAAAATGTATTCTGCGACATGTCTTTGCTAAAAAAAAACCCCAATATGTGTAAATTAATTGGTTTACGTGAAAGTTATAGCGTTTACAAATGGCGGGAAAGATACTGGGATTTTTAGGTTTTTTTTTTATACTAATAATGGCGGCGATCAGCAAATTATGGCGGCGATCAGTGACCCATGGCAGCGACCAGCGACTTATGGCGGGACTGCGGCGGACATTCTGACATTGGGGGGTACTGACTTGGGGTCACTGACATCCCCAAAAACACCAATACAGTGATCAGTGCAAAAAGAAAAACACTGACACTGTACTAATGGCACTGGGGAGGAAGGGGTTAACTTTATTTTGCAGGGAAGGGTTATAGGAGTGAGGGGAGTGTTTTACTAGGGGGCGGGGTGTGTACTGGGCGGGGCAAGGCTGATCGAGAAAGAGAAACTGTTCTTTCTCAATCAGCTCATCCTCGAGCTGACAGGGAAGTGACAGACAGCACAGCTACTGCAGCTGTGCTCTCTGTCACTGTTTACCGCCGATACGCTAAGGAGCGGCTGTGACCCGGCAACTGACATCCGCGGCGGTGATCGGCGGGACAGATAGGGTGGCGGCGCGCCTCGCGCGCGCCCCCTATTTGTTTACAAAACACACGTTTTAAAACGTGGTTTTGCCTGCCAGTGCTGCCCTGCCGCCGTATATCTACAGTAGCTGGGCGACAAGTGGTTAATTTGGGCAAATGTGATTTTAGACTACAATGGAACTCTCCGGGAATTTTTATTTTTTTTAAAGAATATGTAAACCCAATGTAGCCCCCCTCCCCCCACCCGACTCCCCTGAAGACAGGATAGTACCTCCAGAGGGAAGGCTAAAAAGGGAGATCAAAACAGAAACTGGGCGCCAGTCGCTTTGGGTCTTTTTCAAAGCTTTAATGATGAACTTGAAAGGAACTGGAAGGAGAGGGTTAGGGGTTCCAGATGCCATGCAGATCACTTACAGACTCCTTGGACCGAGAACAAAGTCCAT